GTAAATCCCATAACACACGATCTCCTCGCAGCCCCTTGAATGTTTTGGATCCATTGGTGGTGGTGCTGACTCCGGCCTGGCCTAGCTTGCGCAGCGATATCAGGTTGGCCTTCAGCCCCGGTACGAGTAACACATCCTTCAGCACAACCAGTCCACCATCAGGTGCTCTGAATGCAGCTCGACCAACTCCAGCGACCTTCACTGCATGTCCGGATGCTGAGCGCACTTCAGAGATTGGAGGCGCTCGCACAGCATCCAGCAAGTCCTTGCGTGGTGTCATTGTCCATGCAGCACCAGAGTCCATGACCCACATGTCAAGCGGGTGCAATTCCTCTCCAGCCCTTGCAACAGCTGTGCCACTGTCATCTTTGTCACACACATGGTAGAACTGTCCAGCATTCCTCTCCTCATTTCGCATTCCTCTGTCATCCTTGGAGGTTTCTTCAGCAGGATCAGCTACCATGTTGGCACCTCCATGTGGTTGTTTTCCTCCATTCCCCTTCTCCGATTGGTTCCAAGGGGTCCACCAGTCGGGCTTGGTAGGGCAGCGAAACCATGGTATCAGTTCAGCCAGCCTGGCAAGACAAATTTCACACTGTGCCAGGTTGGCCTCCAAACCCCAAATGCTGCAGCTGCAAGGTGGGGACAAAAGTCCCACACATGCTGGTCCCTCCTCGTTATAGGGCTCTCCAACTTTGGTGTAGCAGCTGACAAGGACTTCCAATGAGTTGTAACAAATCCATCAAACATTTCTTCGTAACTTCTTCATATGTGCTCCGATTCCAACAATTCTTGGCTCGTTGGAATGTGCTCGATGTCATGCACAATCCAAGCACATCTGCACAAGCACAAGATGAACATGCAAAGACATGCAAACCCAACAAACCATACAAACAACGTAGCACACAAAACACATGCAAACGAAATGATGCGAACAGACGACAGGATGACGTGCAAATGAATATGCACCAACACACTCCCCCTCAGACTGTCGGCTTGTTTCGCCGTCTCTAGTTCAAGGACATTCCCGCCATCCTCGCACAGCGCCAGTGTGGCTCTTCAGCTAGCCGCTTGGTAAGGAAGTCGGCTGGCTGTTGCTGAGTTTTCACGTAGATCGGATCCAGTGTCCCAAGCTTCACCTCCTTCCGCAGCCAATGCCACATGATCCTCATGTGCTTGTTCAACCCATGAAGAACTGCATTGCGTGCCATGGCAATGGCTCCCTTGCTATCACTGAACAGAGGTGTCGCACAAGTCTGTTCATGGCCGATCTCCTTCAAGAGCCTCCTTAGCCAGATGATTTCTTTTGCCGCATGAAACATCGCCATGTACTCAGATTCCACTGAAGATAGTGCCGTCTCAGACTGCTTCTTGGACCTCCAACTTACAGGCCCACCTCCCACCATGCAGATGTATCCACCAACTGATGATGAATCCTCATGCTCAGAAGCCCACGTGGCATCAGCAAAACAGGAAAGGAACACCTTTCCTTCTCCGAGCTGCTCCCCCTTCTCTTTGAGGACTTCAATTCTTTTTTTGACTGAGTTGAGCAGAGGCTGAATACTGTACTCCCACTGTAGGGTATGACTTGAGGTAGCGCACCACTCTCTTCGCTGCACCACACTGCTCTTCTGTTGGATTTTGCACTACTCGAGCCAGCTGTCCCACAGCAAAGCTGATGTCAGGCCGAGTATGCACAGCAGCGTAGAGTAGGTTCCCGACCATGGATTGGAATTGCCTCTGGTCTTCACTCTCAACTCCTTCTCCTTCAGCTGCCTTTATGAGTTTGAACTCGGAAGGCAAAGGTGTGACCACTTCCCGTTCTTCCTGCAGAGAGTACTTCTCAGCCAAGGTGTTGATGTACTGTCCCTGATGCAGTTTGAGCCAGCCACGTTCAGTATCCCGCTCAATATGCATTCCCAGGTAGTACCTTGCCTCTCTAAGTGACTTGCACTTGAACTGCTCTGTGAGCTTCCGCTGCACCCCATCGATCTCCTTGTCACTGCTGCTGAAGAGCAGGATGTCATCCACGTACACCAGCAGAAGCACAAGTGACTCCCCCTCTCCCATCAGGAACAGGCTCTCGTCGCATGCACTCGCACGGAATCCAATCCCTTCCAGTGCACTGGCCAGCCTGTTGTACCAGCATCTCGGGGCCTGCTTCAAGCCATAGATGGCCTTGTTAAGTTTGCAGACACGACCGGTTCCATCCTCATAGCCAGGTGGTTGAACCATGTACACCTCCTCTTCCACAATGCCGTACAGAAAAGCGGTTACGATGTCCATCTGCTTCACCTTCCATTTGCGCACAGCAGCTACCGCCAGCAGCACACGTAGCGTTGGAGACTTAGCAGTTGGGGCAAACACTTCTTTGTAATCTTCCTTCTCTTTCTGCTGAAACCCCTTTGCCACCAGCCTGCTCTTGTAAACTGATGGCTCTCCTTTCTCATCCGTCTTGATTTTTGCCAGCCACTTGCACTGTATTGCCTTCTTCCCATTTGGCAAGTACACCAGGTCCCATGTGTGATTCTCCATCTTGCTGTTGTACTCTGCATCTCTTGAAACGAGCCACTTCCCCCGTTGAGGCCCGGCTAGCGCATGATCCATGCTCGGAGGTTGTATTGGTGCGTAAAAGCAGTATGCAGGCTCCTTGTCATCTGACTCTTGGTCATCACCCAAGAACAGCACTGCATCTTCGCCTTGAGCCTGTTCCTGCTGCTCAGTTGTGGCTCCTCCACTTGTGGAGCTCAACAGCTTTCTCATTGCCATTCTGGTACGTGCAGGGTAGATGGTTGGATTTACCCATTCTTTCACCTTCACCCAATCCTTTGTCCCCCCACCAATCTGTTTCCTTCGCTTTGGCAGACTTGGTGTTTTGGAAGCCTCTTGCTGCTGCTGCTCCGGATCCTTGACTTCAGCATCAGCTGCAATATCCTCATTGCTTCCTTCATCAGTACCGCTTGCCGTTGGCGCAGTGACTTCGCTGTCCTCAGGTTCGGACAGATCGAAGTGCATAGTGATCTCTTCCAGCTGCTGGGTGACCCTTGCCTCCGGCTGCTTCTCCCACTTGCCATACATGATGTTCTCCACAAATTTGACATCCCGACTATCAAACAGCACATTCTTTGAGGGCTCCCAGAGTAGCCACCCCTTGCTCTCTGCCGCAAGCCCAAGGTGCACACACCAAAGTGCAGATGCTCCAAGCTTTGTCCTGTACGGTTTAGGGACATGCGCCACTGCCATGCATCCGAACACTCGAAGCATGTCCACTGGAGGCTTCTTTCCAAGCCACCTCTCCAGCGGCACCCACATATCATCAGCCACCTTTGTGAGTACGCGGTTCCTTGCCACTGTAGCATGCCTCACCGCATGAGGCCACATGGAGTTCCCCAGCCCTGATTCGATCAGCAGCGCTCGCGCAGTTTCCAGGATGGTCCTATTAGCCCTCTCAGCAACGCCATTTGACTGAGGGGTATAGGACGTCGTTAGCTGATGCTCAATGCCTTGTTTCTTGAGCCACGCAGTCAGATCTCCTCCTAGAAACTCTCCACCTCGGTCGGTTCTGATGCTCTTGCATGGGTGCCCAGATTGTCGCTCGACGAACGGCAGCCAATCATCTCGTATTGTTGAGGCAGCATGATCCTTCTGCTTCAACGGGTATGCCCACATCAGCCGACTCCAGTCATCAACTATTGTCAGGAAGTACCTTTCCCCCTTACTTCCTCGGACTGGAAAAGGTCCTACGAGGTCCATGTGCACCAGTTCCAGTGCTGCCTTGCTTTTCCCAGCTACGCCGTGAAAGGGGAACCGTGTGAACTTGCTCAGCAGACACGTCTCGCACTTGGTAGCATTTGGTTGCCCAGAAAGCTTGAGCCCCTTTACTGCTTCTTCCTTATGCAGTTGCTGCAGCAATGGCATAGCCACATGCCCTAGACGCCTGTGTGCGGTTTCCCAATCAGTCTCCCCCGACCTTGCAGAAACCGTCACTCCTGCAGCACTAACTGCATTACACTCCCCCTGGACTCCAGAACCCGCCTTTACTTCTCCCAACTCCTTCTTTGTTGATTCCCATATCAGTGCAGGGATCTGCCACATGGATCTGAAGACATCTCTGCTTTCGTGTAAATCCCATAACACACGATCTCCTCGCAGCCCCTTGAATGTTTTGGATCCATTGGTGGTGGTGCTGACTCCGGCCTGGCCTAGCTTGCGCAGCGATATCAGGTTGGCCTTCAGCCCCGGTACGAGTAACACATCCTTCAGCACAACCAGTCCACCATCAGGTGCTCTGAATGCAGCTCGACCAACTCCAGCGACCTTCACTGCATGTCCGGATGCTGAGCGCACTTCAGAGATTGGAGGCGCTCGCACAGCATCCAGCAAGTCCTTGCGTGGTGTCATTGTCCATGCAGCACCAGAGTCCATGACCCACATGTCAAGCGGGTGCAATTCCTCTCCAGCCCTTGCAACAGCTGTGCCACTGTCATCTTTGTCACACACATGGTAGAACTGTCCAGCATTCCTCTCCTCATTTCGCATTCCTCTGTCATCCTTGGAGGTTTCTTCAGCAGGATCAGCTACCATGTTGGCACCTCCATGTGGTTGTTTTCCTCCATTCCCCTTCTCCGATTGGTTCCAAGGGGTCCACCAGTCGGGCTTGGTAGGGCAGCGAAACCATGGATGCCCTTCTTCCTTGCAATACCAGCACTCTCCCCTCAAGCGTGGTTCACTGTTGTCATTGTTGGAGTGACCACCTCTTCCTCTTGCACCAGCGCCACCACGCCCCCGCTGGTTCCAAGTCCCGCGACCACCTTGGCTGTGGTAAGAGCGACCGCGATTGCCACGCCCTCGATCCCTCCATGTCCCTTGCATGGCATAGCCGCTGGTGCTGTCATCACCTCCGCGCAGTGTATAGCGACGAAAATCTTCTTCCAGAATCTTGGTGCGAATCCACTCCAATGTCCATTGACTTTGGTTTTGTGGCAAGCTGAGTCCGCTTATAAATTGCAGCCAAGACTCCGGCAGCAGGCTGAGCATCTTGAGACACTTTGTCTGCTCTGGGTACGTGATGCCTGCAATCGCCAATTTCGCGTAGAGTTCCCTCATCTTGTCCAGTACGGGCTGCACAGCTTCATTCTCGCTCAACCGCAGCATGGACAGCTCCCGATCCAGCATGAGAGAAGCGGCAACCGATGTCGGAGCGTGCAGGTCCTTGAGCACTGCCCATGCCTTGGGCCCACAATCAATTTCCGGTAGCAGATGCATGATGTGATGCCTCTGGTTCAGCTCCAAGCTTTGTGACAGTAGATAGTACCCAGCAGATGAACGTTCATCCCAGTCCGCTTGCTCTGCCATTTCCTTTGGCCTTGGCTCCGTTCCAATCATGAGCTTCAAGAGGCCAATTTGTCGAAAGTAGAGCTGCATCTTCCATGCCCAATCATCATAGCCATCTCCAGAGAACTTCTCAATGGTGAAGTTCTTCAGCACCTCCTTAAGCAGTGACCCCTGGCTTGTACGCGCTCCCCTTTGCGCTGCAATGCCAGAATCTTGGGTTGAGCTGCCTCCTTGGACTGAAGTATCACCTCCACCAGAGTCCTCTTTATCTCCCATCGTATTTTAGGTCCCAAATGCGTGATAATAGGCTCTGATACCACTTGTTGGTTAGAGAAGGCTATAAGCAGATGATTCAATGGCTCCTTGGAAATTTCTGCAGCACTTCGTTATGACGCCCAGAAAACTCGCGACCTTCGAATAGCTATATCAAAAACTCCAATCGGTGAAACGATCTGAAAATCGGATATGTTGTAGCTGGCAGTGTCAGCTTTCCACTGAAAGTTGAATCACTCGATTCCGTAGCTAAACGAGTGAGCTATGGCGTTTGGCGCACTGGGGGGTAATCTGCCCTAGGAGAAGTTGACAGTCCTCAGAGTCACTATGATTGAAGCTTACAAGTTCAGAGACATGATGGAAAAGGCATTGAAGCATAGTTGGAAGGTGGGGTAGGAAGTGAAGGATGAAAGGGAAGGACCCTGGAGGCCCATGGTCAAGAACATGACAAGAGTCAAAGTTTTGACTCCCCATCCTCAGGTTCAGCCAGCCTGGCAAGACAAATTTCACACTGTGCCAGGTTGGCCTCCAAACCCCAAATGCTGCAGCTGCAAGGTGGGGACAAAAGTCCCACACATGCTGGTCCCTCCTCGTTATAGGGCTCTCCAGCTTTGGTGTAGCAGCTGACAAGGACTTCCAATGAGTTGTAACAAATCCATCAAACATTTCTTCGTAACTTCTTCATATGTGCTCCGATTCCAACAATTCTTGGCTCGTTGGAATGTGCTCGATGTCATGCACAATCCAAGCACATCTGCACAAGCACAAGATGAACATGCAAAGACATGCAAACCCAACAAACCATACAAACAACGTAGCACACAAAACACATGCAACGAAATGATGCGAACAGACGACAGGATGACGTGCAAACGAATATGCACCAACACACTCCCCCTCAGACTGTCGGCTTGTTTCGCCGTCTCTAGTTCAAGGACATTCCCGCCATCCTCGCACAGCGCCAGTGTGGCTCTTCAGCTAGCCGCTTGGTAAGGAAGTCGGCTGGCTGTTGCTGAGTTTTCACGTAGATCGGATCCAGTGTCCCAAGCTTCACCTCCTTCCGCAGCCAATGCCACATGATCCTCATGTGCTTGTTCAACCCATGAAGAACTGCATTGCGTGCCATGGCAATGGCTCCCTTGCTATCACTGAACAGAGGTGTCGCACAAGTCTGTTCATGGCCGATCTCCTTCAAGAGCCTCCTTAGCCAGATGATTTCTTTTGCCGCATGAAACATCGCCATGTACTCAGATTCCACTGAAGATAGTGCCGTCTCAGACTGCTTCTTGGACCTCCAACTTACAGGCCCACCTCCCACCATGCAGATGTATCCACCAACTGATGATGAATCCTCATGCTCAGAAGCCCACGTGGCATCAGCAAAACAGGAAAGGAACACCTTTCCTTCTCCGAGCTGCTCCCCCTTCTCTTTGAGGACTTCAATTCTTTTTTGACTGAGTTGAGCAGAGGCTGAATACTGTACTCCCACTGTAGGGTATGACTTGAGGTAGCGCACCACTCTCTTCGCTGCACCACACTGCTCTTCTGTTGGATTTTGCACTACTCGAGCCAGCTGTCCCACAGCAAAGCTGATGTCAGGCCGAGTATGCACAGCAGCGTAGAGTAGGTTCCCGACCATGGATTGGAATTGCCTCTGGTCTTCACTCTCAACTCCTTCTCCTTCAGCTGCCTTTATGAGTTTGAACTCGGAAGGCAAAGGTGTGACCACTTCCCGTTCTTCCTGCAGAGAGTACTTCTCAGCCAAGGTGTTGATGTACTGTCCCTGATGCAGTTTGAGCCAGCCACGTTCAGTATCCCACTCAATATGCATTCCCAGGTAGTACCTTGCCTCTCTAAGTGACTTGCACTTGAACTGCTCTGTGAGCTTCCGCTGCACCCCATCGATCTCCTTGTCACTGCTGCTGAAGAGCAGGATGTCATCCACGTACACCAGCAGAAGCACAAGCGACTCCCCCTCGCTCATCAGGAATAGGCTCTCGTCGCATGCACTCGCACGGAATCCAATCCCTTCCAGTGCACTGGCCAGCCTGTTGTACCAGCATCTCGGGGCCTGCTTCAAGCCATAGATGGCCTTGTTAAGTTTGCAGACACGACCGGTTCCATCCTCATAGCCAGGTGGTTGAACCATGTATACCTCCTCTTCCACAATGCCATACAGAAAAGCGGTTACGATGTCCATCTGCTTCACCTTCCATTTGCGCACAGCAGCTACCGCCAGCAGCACACGTAGCGTTGGAGACTTAGCAGTTGGGGCAAACACTTCTTTGTAATCTTCCTTCGCTTTCTGCTGAAACCCCTTTGCCACCAGCCTGCTCTTGTAAACTGATGGCTCTCCTTTCTCATCCGTCTTGATTTTTGCCAGCCACTTGCACTGTATTGCCTTCTTCCCATTTGGCAAGTACACCAGGTCCCATGTGTGATTCTCCATCTTGCTGTTGTACTCTGCATCTCTTGAAACGAGCCACTTCCCCCGTTGAGGCCCGGCTAGCGCATGATCCATGCTCGGAGGTTGTATTGGTGCGTAAAAGCAGTATGCAGGCTCCTTGTCATCTGACTCTTGGTCATCACCCAAGAACAGCACTGCATCTTCGCCTTGAGCCTGTTCCTGCTGCTCAGTTGTGGCTCCTCCACTTGTGGAGCTCAACAGCTTTCTCATTGCCATTCTGGTACGTGCAGGGTAGATGGTTGGATTTACCCATTCTTTCACCTTCACCCAATCCTTTGTCCCCCCACCAATCTGTTTCCTTCGCTTTGACAGACTTGGTGTTTTGGAAGCCTCTTGCTGCTGCTGCTCCGGATCCTTGACTTCAGCATCAGCTGCAATATCCTCATTGCTTCCTTCATCAGTACCGCTTGCCGTTGGCGCAGTGACTTCGCTGTCCTCAGGTTCGGACAGATCGAAGTGCATAGTGATCTCTTCCAGCTGCTGGGTGACCCTTGCCTCCGGCTGCTTCTCCCACTTGCCATACATGATGTTCTCCACAAATTTGACATCCCGACTATCAAACAGCACATTCTTTGAGGGCTCCCAGAGTAGCCACCCCTTGCTCTCTGCCGCAAGCCCAAGGTGCACACACCAAAGTGCAGATGCTCCAAGCTTTGTCCTGTACGGTTTAGGGACATGCGCCACTGCCATGCATCCGAACACTCGAAGCATGTCCACTGGAGGCTTCTTTCCAAGCCACCTCTCCAGCGGCACCCACATATCATCAGCCACCTTTGTGAGTACGCGGTTCCTTGCCACTGTAGCATGCCTCACCGCATGAGGCCACATGGAGTTCCCCAGCCCTGATTCGATCAGCAGCGCTCGCGCAGTTTCCAGGATGGTCCTATTAGCCCTCTCAGCAACGCCATTTGACTGAGGGGTATAGGACGTCGTTAGCTGATGCTCAATGCCTTGTTTCTTGAGCCACGCAGTCAGATCTCCTCCTAGAAACTCTCCACCTCGGTCGGTTCTGATGCTCTTGCATGGGTGCCCAGATTGTCGCTCGACGAACGGCAGCCAATCATCTCGTATTGTTGAGGCAGCATGATCCTTCTGCTTCAACGGGTATGCCCACATCAGCCGACTCCAGTCATCAACTATTGTCAGGAAGTACCGTTCCCCCTTACTTCCTCGGACTGGAAAAGGTCCTACGAGGTCCATGTGCACCAGTTCCAGTGCTGCCTTGCTTTTCCCAGCTACGCCGTGAAAGGGGAACCGTGTGAACTTGCTCAGCAGACACGTCTCGCACTTGGTAGCATTTGGTTGCCCAGAAAGCTTGAGCCCCTTTACTGCTTCTTCCTTATGCAGTTGCTGCAGCAATGGCATAGCCACATGCCCTAGACGCCTGTGTGCGGTTTCCCAATCAGTCTCCCCCGACCTTGCAGAAACCGTCACTCCTGCAGCACTAACTGCATTACACTCCCCCTGGACTCCAGAACCCGCCTTTACTTCTCCCAACTCCTTCTTTGTTGATTCCCATATCAGTGCAGGGATCTGCCACATGGATCTGAAGACATCTCTGCTTTCGTGTAAATCCCATAACACACGATCTCCTCGCAGCCCCTTGAATGTTTTGGATCCATTGGTGGTGGTGCTGACTCCGGCCTGGCCTAGCTTGCGCAGCGATATCAGGTTGGCCTTCAGCCCCGGTACGAGTAACACATCCTTCAGCACAACCAGTCCACCATCAGGTGCTCTGAATGCAGCTCGACCAACTCCAGCGACCTTCACTGCATGTCCGGATGCTGAGCGCACTTCAGAGATTGGAGGCGCTCGCACAGCATCCAGCAAGTCCTTGCGTGGTGTCATTGTCCATGCAGCACCAGAGTCCATGACCCACATGTCAAGCGGGTGCAATTCCTCTCCAGCCCTTGCAACAGCTGTGCCACTGTCATCTTTGTCACACACATGGTAGAACTGTCCAGCATTCCTCTCCTCATTTCGCATTCCTCTGTCATCCTTGGAGGTTTCTTCAGCAGGATCAGCTACCATGTTGGCACCTCCATGTGGTTGTTTTCCTCCATTCCCCTTCTCCGATTGGTTCCAAGGGGTCCACCAGTCGGGCTTGGTAGGGCAGCGAAACCATGGATGCCCTTCTTCCTTGCAATACCAGCACTCTCCCCTCAAGCGTGGTTCACTGTTGTCATTGTTGGAGTGACCACCTCTTCCTCTTGCACCAGCGCCACCACGCCCCCGCTGGTTCCAAGTCCCGCGACCACCTTGGCTGTGGTAAGAGCGACCGCGATTGCCACGCCCTCGATCCCTCCATGTCCCTTGCATGGCATAGCCGCTGGTGCTGTCATCACCTCCGCGCAGTGTATAGCGACGAAAATCTTCTTCCAGAATCTTGGTGCGAATCCACTCCAATGTCCATTGACTTTGGTTTTGTGGCAAGCTGAGTCCGCTTATAAATTGCAGCCAAGACTCCGGCAGCAGGCTGAGCATCTTGAGACACTTTGTCTGCTCTGGGTACGTGATGCCTGCAATCGCCAATTTCGCGTAGAGTTCCCTCATCTTGTCCAGTACGGGCTGCACAGCTTCATTCTCGCTCAACCGCAGCATGGACAGCTCCCGATCCAGCATGAGAGAAGCGGCAACCGATGTCGGAGCGTGCAGGTCCTTGAGCACTGCCCATGCCTTGGGCCCACAATCAATTTCCGGTAGCAGATGCATGATGTGATGCCTCTGGTTCAGCTCCAAGCTTTGTGACAGTAGATAGTACCCAGCAGATGAACGTTCATCCCAGTCCGCTTGCTCTGCCATTTCCTTTGGCCTTGGCTCCGTTCCAATCATGAGCTTCAAGAGGCCAATTTGTCGAAAGTAGAGCTGCATCTTCCATGCCCAATCATCATAGCCATCTCCAGAGAACTTCTCAATGGTGAAGTTCTTCAGCACCTCCTTAAGCAGTGACCCCTGGCTTGTACGCGCTCCCCTTTGCGCTGCAATGCCAGAATCTTGGGTTGAGCTGCCTCCTTGGACTGAAGTATCACCTCCACCAGAGTCCTCTTTATCTCCCATCGTATTTTAGGTCCCAAATGCGTGATAATAGGCTCTGATACCACTTGTTGGTTAGAGAAGGCTATAAGCAGATGATTCAATGGCTCCTTGGAAATTTCTGCAGCACTTCGTTATGACGCCCAGAAAACTCGCGACCTTCGAATAGCTATATCAAAAACTCCAATCGGTGAAACGATCTGAAAATCGGATATGTTGTAGCTGGCAGTGTCAGCTTTCCACTGAAAGTTGAATCACTCGATTCCGTAGCTAAACGAGTGAGCTATGGCGTTTGGCGCACTGGGGGGTAATCTGCCCTAGGAGAAGTTGACAGTCCTCAGAGTCACTATGATTGAAGCTTACAAGTTCAGAGACATGATGGAAAAGGCATTGAAGCATAGTTGGAAGGTGGGGTAGGAAGTGAAGGATGAAAGGGAAGGACCCTGGAGGCCCATGGTCAAGAACATGACAAGAGTCAAAGTTTTGACTCCCCATCCTCAGGTTCAGCCAGCCTGGCAAGACAAATTTCACACTGTGCCAGGTTGGCCTCCAAACCCCAAATGCTGCAGCTGCAAGGTGGGGACAAAAGTCCCACACATGCTGGTCCCTCCTCGTTATAGGGCTCTCCAGCTTTGGTGTAGCAGCTGACAAGGACTTCCAATGAGTTGTAACAAATCCATCAAACATTTCTTCGTAACTTCTTCATATGTGCTCCGATTCCAACAATTCTTGGCTCGTTGGAATGTGCTCGATGTCATGCACAATCCAAGCACATCTGCACAAGCACAAGATGAACATGCAAAGACATGCAAACCCAACAAACCATACAAACAACGTAGCACACAAAACACATGCAACGAAATGATGCGAACAGACGACAGGATGACGTGCAAACGAATATGCACCAACACAGCATCTGCATGGCAGCAGCAGCAGCTTGGCTTTGGCACCGCCGCCATGGCTGCCACAGCCACAACAGGTCCTCCTGGCTTTCCTCTCTGGGGCTCTCCTTCCCCTAGAGCTCCCACCTCCCACTCCAGCTTTCTGGATGAGCTCATGCGTTCTTCCCCTGCTTCCACTTCCATGTATCCCTCTGTTTTTAATGCCAGTGATTTCCAGTACCCCATGTCTTCAGCTCCCTCCTCGCTCACGCTAGACTTTGTTCGCGATAGTGGTGCCACTGAAACTGCCCTCAAAGACGCCGGCACCCTCACCTCCCTCCCTTTCCGCACCAACGTTCATGGTGCTGATTCCAGCTTCTCCATCCCTTGCACTCATCTCTCCACCCTCCCCTGCCCCCCCTTCCCCTCTGGAGTGGTCACTGGTCTCCACATTCCCTCCCTTCGTCATAACCTGCTCTCCATCCGTGAACTCCAACAGGCTGGCATCACTACCCTCTTCCCCGCCTCTGCCACCTACTGTGACCTCCTCCACGGCCCCACTCGTCGCCTCCTTCATCGCCTCCCACTTTGCCCTCGCTCTCGTCAGTACATCCTCAGCACACCGTGCCCCTCCTCATGCCACGTGACCACTCGTGCAGGCACCTCCACTCTCCCCCCTCCCCTCCCTCTAAAGCCACCTTCCTCCAACTCCACCTCCCCCCCATGCTCTTGTCGCGCCCTGTCCCACCCCGCTGTTCTCATCCACCATCGCCTTGGTCATATGATTTTTTCCACACTTCGTAAAGCCGTCTCCTCCCGCTTGCTTGACAGTCTTCCCTCCACTCTTCCTCCCCTCCCGTCCTCTTCCGCTCCCCCATGCGCCACATGCATTCATGGAAAGCTCAAACAACAACCTCACCTCAGTCATCCTTCCTTTGCTGCTGCCCCCCTTGACCTCGTCCACATGGACCTCTGGGGCCCTAACCCTTCCCCTTCCCGCCAAGGGCACCGGTACATGCTTGTCCTAGTCGACGACCACAGCAGGTACTCCTCGGTGTTCCTTCTCCACACAAAGGCCGAGGCCCTTGTTGTCATCGTTACCTGGGCCGAGCAGTGCCGTGTCCACTTTGGTCGCCCCATCCGCCGCCTCCATTCCGACGGCGGTGGTGAGTTTCTCAACCGCACCGTCTCCTCCTACTGCTCAACCCATGGCATCCAGCAGACTCATACCCTTCCCCACTCCCCTCAGCAGAACGGTGTTGCTGAGAGTCGCATTCGTGAGATCACCAAGACGGCCCGCTGCCTCCTCACTCATGCCTCCACGCCCCCTTCTCTTTGGGGTTATGCCCTTGTCCATGCTGCTCTCCTCACTAATCTTTACCCACATCCTCAACGCCAGTCCGTCACTCCCACAGAGCTCTGGGCTAGCACCAAGCCAGATGCTGCCATTCTCCGTATCTGGGGTTGCAAGGCATATGTCTTCATCCCCCCACTTGACCGCTCTAGGAAGGCAGGAAAGCTTGCCTCCAGGGCCATTGAGTGTGTCTACCTTGGCCACGCTCGCTCTGCCCCTGGTTACCTCTTCCTTCACCCGTCCTCAGGCCGCCTCCTACAGAGCCGAGACGTGGTGTTCGATGAGAGCATCCCGTTCTATCATTCTGTTCCGCCTTCCGACCCACTTCCTCCTCTCTCCCATTCCCCCACTCCTTCCCCAGGCTCCCCTCCTTCCTCCAAATCCTGCTCCTCCCCCTCCTCCTTCCTCAGGTGACATTTACGACCCAGCTGTCCCTGACTCCCCTGCTCACTCTGCCTCATCGCACCAGCACCAGCAGCAGCAGCAGCAGCAGCAGCAGCAGCAGCAGGTGCAGCAGCAGGAGCGGATGGAGCAGCAGCGGCAGCAGCAGCAGCAGCAGCAGCAGCAGGAGATGCAGCAGCAGCAGCGGATGGAGCAGCAGCAGCAGCAGCAGCAGGAGATGCAGCAGCAGCAGCGGATGGAGCAGCAGCAGCAGCAGCAACCGCAGGCAATGCAGCAACAGCAGCTGCAGCAGGAGGTGCAGCAGCAGCAGCAGCGGCAGCAACCACAGCAGCAACCTCATCGGCATCGCTGCACCACCTCTCCGTTCATCCTCCCACGCATCCACACTCGCTCTCATGGCCCACTCATAGGCCATCCATGGGGTTGGCCAACGCCACCCCCACCTTCCCTTCCCTTCATCGAGGACTCCCATGAGGAGCTCATTGGCGTTCAGCAACAAACACCTTCCCTCACGCCTCTCTATCCAGGCTTCCTTGGGCTCCTCATCCTTGGCATCGCTACCGCTCCCACCATATTCACCCCGTCCAACTTCCTTGAGGCCATCACCTGCCCCGATGCTGCCAAATGGATCCAGGCTATCTTTACTGAATGCGAGGCCTTCATCCGCAATGCCTCATTCATTGAAATTGTCCCCTCTTCTAACGACGTCATTGTTGAAGGCCTGTGGGTGTTCCGAGTGAAGCAGTTGCCGGGTGAGGAGCCGGTCTACAAGGCCCGGTATTGTGCCAAGGACTTCACCCAGACCCATGGCATCGTCTCCTGAGAGACATTCTCTCCCACCGCCAAGCTCCCAACTCTCCGTGCCATCCTCGACTATGCTGTTCGCATTGGCATGGAGATTGCCTCGATGGATGTCTCCAACGCCTTCCTGCAAGGCGAGCTCCAGGAGCGGGTCCTCTTGCGGCGGCCTCCAGGCTTTCATGCAGCCTTCCCTCCCAACACAGTCTGGGAGCTGCGCCGCCCGGTTTATGGCCTCAAGCAGGCTCCTCGCGAGTGGCACAACAAGCTGGCCGCCACTCTGCAGTCCCTGGGGTTCCATGCCTCTCAGTCTGATGCCAGCCTTTTCCTTTGCTCCTCTCCCACCCGCTTCTTCAGCTTCCACACTGTGTTGGCAGGGTAAGTGCCAGGAAACCCCGGTGGGCGTTCCATGTGAAAATCCTCCTTGAGCTGACCTTGAAGAAAGGCGGAGGAGGCGTCCATGGACTTGATCTTGAAGTTGCCGTGAGCGGCTATATCAAGAAGAGTGCGCACAGTCGGGAGCTTGGCCGTGGGCGAGAAGGTTTCGAAGAAGTCGAGATACTCCTTCTGGGTGAAACCCTTCGCCATGTATCGTGCCTTGAACAGTGGAGCTTCGCCTGGGAGTTGTTTGACTCGGAAGATCCATTTTCCGCTGATGATGTTGACACCGGAAGGGGGAACAACATCGTCAAAGCAGTTGTTGCGAATGAACGCCTCGTTCTCCACATCCATTGCTGCCTTCCACTCCTTCTTATAAGGCCCCGAAAGAGCTTCCTCTTTTGTGCGAGGAATCGGAATGGTCTGGTTCTCGGTGAAGTTGAGGGAAGGGCAGTCAGTAATGTCCGGGAAGATGTGAGAGAGAAATTGGCAGACCGCGTGAAGGTCAAACAGCTCCTCATGCCTGTCCTCGAGAAGTGCACGGGGGGGAATACGGATGGAGGGGACATCACCCCCGGCAGGAGGAGGCGGGGTGACCGAACACCGGATGGAGAAGGCGGCTGGTCCCCAGGCGAGAGGCGGAGCCGGTCCCTTGGAATGAGTGCGACTAGAGACCGGAGACGAAGGCGGCTGCGGTGGGACCAGAGGGACTGGTCGCCTCCGGTAGGAGACTGGTGAGCCGGGCTCGACGCGCGAGGAAGGCGGAGCAGGAGGAGGTGCCGCTGCGGAGGATACTGGGGAGGCCGGGTGAGACACGCCGGACGGAGAAGGCCCCGAGAAGGGGCAGCGGCCGGAGGTGGGGCATCGAATTCTGCCCACACAAGCGTCGGGGGAGGTGGAGGAGGCTCGCCCGTGGTCGCAGAGTGGAATGGGCGTGTCTGATCGAAGACGACATCACGGCTGCGAATCAGCTGTTTGGTGATTAAGTTGAAGAATAAGTAGTCTGGGGAGTCGGAGTTGTGCCCCAGGTACATGCAGGTCTGGGTTTTGGGACCAAGCTTGCCACCTTGCTTCCTGCGCGTATGGGGGCTTAGCAATACATACGCGGTACACCCCCAGACGCGTAGAGAGCGGGCGGAAGGCGTGACCCCAAGCCAGAGAGCGGTAGGTGTGGTGTCGGGCCGGTGGGGATGCGGATAAAGATTGTAGAGGAGTGCCGCATGGAAGAGGGCATATCCCCAGAGTGACCGTGGTGCGTTGGCGTGACTGAGGAGGCAGCGAGCGATCTGAACCAAGGTGTGGTTGCGGCTCTCTGCAATGCCGTTCTGCTGTGGGCTTTCGGGGAGCGTGAAGGTTTGCCGAATCCCTTAGGCCGCACAGAAGTCATCGAGTTTGCCATTGCAAAATTCTTCCCCGCCATCAGAATGGAGGCACTTCAGAGGAGTGCCGAACGTGACTTGAGCCTGGCGCACCCCCGCCATGATGACATCAGGTGCCTCCGCCTTGGTATGCAGGAGGTGCACAGAAACATACCGCGAGTGGTCATCGACTAGTGTAAGAAAGTACCGATGACCGCCTCGGGATGCGACTGGAGCTGGGCCCCAGACATCCATTTGCACTAGGTCCAGCGGAGCAGCTGCGACGGATGGGGAGGAAGGGTGCGGCTGCTGCCTGAGCTTGCTCTTGGTGCAGTCCAGGCAGGTGGGTGCAGGTGAGTCTATTGGTGGAGGAAGCGCCGACAGGAGGCCAAGAAGAAGTTTCTTGGAAGTGATGTCGGCAAGTGTACGGAAGTTGGGGTGGCCCAAGCGATGGTGGTAGAGGATGGTTGCGTTGGCGAAGCTGCGACACGAACATGGAGTGGTGCTGGCAGCTTGCGCTTCGGAGAGAGCGGCGAGAGGTGCAGGTGAACGCAGCGTGTAGAGCTTGCTACTGTTGAGTGTGAAGCGTGCTAGGAGCTTGTTGGACTTAGGTTCGAAGAGGTCACAGTGATCGGAGTGTGCTGGGAAGATCGTAGTGACGCCTGCCCCTTGGAGCTCGTGTTGGGCCACGAGATTGTGGCGTAGTGTGGGAACACACATGGGGACACAGGGACACGGGGGAAGCGGTTGTGCTGGAATGGCACCGAAGTGGCATAGGCTTGAGGCACGGAGCGCGGATTGCATTGGCCTTGGCTTGAGCGCTGTTGTCCTTTTTGGCAGAAAGGAGCGCGGATGAGACCTTGGCAAATGTGAGGTCTGCAGGAGCAAGGCCCAAGAGCATCTTCCGTGTGACTTTGTATGCCGGAGTGAGGCCGACTAGGAGAGCGGCTGCAGGGGCTTGCTCGGGGAAGACTATCCCCAACTGTTTGAGTTCACCATGAATGGACTGCACCTTGGTGACATAGTCCGTCATGCCTGGCGAGTCCTCGAGCCGCACTTGGAACATGCAGGGGATGAGTATAGCAACTCCCACTGCAGTCTTGTTCAGGAAGCGATCTTCGAGGTAGAGCCAAATGGCGTTGGCAGACGGGTAGTTGTGGTAGGTTTCGACAAGTTCGGAGGAGTGGTGCCCATGAAGACACTAATGACCGCACCATCGGCCTTCTCCCAATTCTTGTACTTGAGAAGTGCAGCAGTATAAACTGGTTGAGTAAGCCATTGTTGGTGGGAGGCTCTTTGCCGTCACCGATGTTGAGAAGGACGTCGGTGAGCTCGAGCCTTTTCACCTCGCGACTGAGGAGGTGCTTGTCGACACCATAGCGCCAAGCCTTGTAGTTGGAGCATGTGCCGTCCGGCTCGAGACGAAGGAGCGGGATCGGGTTGGCGAGTGAAGTGGTTGAGTAAGCCATTGTCGGTGTGCAGCGCGGCACTTCTTGAAATTGGTCGACGAGAATTGCTGAAAATCACTCTGACGGCTTTATCAAAATGCCGCTAAGTAGGAAATGGCGTCGGCGAAAATTTGTTAAAACGCCGACTTGAGACTGAATCTGAGCCTATGTCTAACCTCGACCCACACACCCCCCCACACACCCCCAGGCCCTGTCCCGCAGCTACACAGCTCCGCAACCAGCTCCGCTCCGCTTCAACCTGTGTACCTGCTCTTGCTTGACGCGAGACGTTCGTGGAGGCGATTTCGCGAGGGGAGTTCGCCTATTCTGGCGGGCTCTGAGGGGAAACTCGAGAACGAGTTTTAAGAGATGGTCGAAATTGAGATTCGACCAAGGAGAACCGAGGAGGAAATCGACGATGAGAAGCGTGAACGCTTCAGCGATGAGAAATTCAACGAGGTCGAGCGCGAAGGCGGTCTACGATGAGAGGCGCGACTGCAGAGTGGAGCACGTTGAATTTCCGACGACTTGAAACGAATGTCGCGATAATGAAATGCGCGTAGCGCGGGCACGTTAAGATTAGGAGCTTGATCCGCATGTGCGGATTGGTCGCTCTGATACCATGTAAGAAATAGAGTTGAAATGATTGATTAGGTAAGGAGCCCTAGGCTCTATAAGTACATGGCAAGGTAAAGGAGAATGGATGAGGGGGAATTGGAGGGAATCCCCATTGGGATTTCCGGAATCTCCAATTGGGTAATTGGAGTTGGGGGGATCACAATTGGGTGAGGTTGGGATTTGTGAGTACACCCCAATCCACTAGAACATTCATAACCTAAACTAGGATATAAAAGTACAAATACAAAAGTTGTATTTGCAGTCTATTTCTAAGAATTCCACCTCCCACTCTCTCATTCCGCCTTATCCTCCCTCGTGCCGCCTTTGTCTATCTCACTCGGCCTTCTCCCCTCTGATTCGGACTTCTCGCCACTCATTTCTTTTCCCTTGTCTTGGCTCCCCCTCTCTCATTCCAATTTCCCCTCCCTCTCATCCGGACCTCCCCTCCCTCTCTTTCCCATTTCCCCTCCTCTCATTCGGACCTCCCCTCCCTCTCATTCCGATTTCCCCTTCCTCTCATTCCGACTTCCCCTCATTCATTCCGATTTCCCCTCCCTCTCAGTAGAACTTCCCCTCCCTCTCATTCCGAGTTCCCCTCATTTCAATCTGATTTCCACTCTCCGATTCCACCTCCCCCCTCTCAATCCACCTCCCCCCACTATTTCCGCATTCCTCCTCTATATCCGCACTCCCCCGTGCGGATTCCACATTTCTCTCCTCATTCCCCTATTTCCCCTCCAGTGCCGCATTTCCCCGCTCTTCCCACATTTCTCCTCTTGTGCCGCATTTCGCCGCACCTTACTCGCATTTTCCCTATCATTTCGCATTTCCCTTCTCGTTCTGCATTTACCATCTCACTCCGCATTTCACAAGCTATGCCGCCGTCACTACCAAAGTAGAGGCCTGCAGAAATGGTTGCCACTCGCACCGCCCTGTTTCTGTACGAGCTACAGTGGTGGCCTCGCTGGCAATCTGGCTTGTGGTTTTCACATCCCAAAAATTTGGGTGGCAAAATGATACCCCCAAGACTGCCGCAAGTAACCTAAGGGCCTCGCCCAGGGGGGTAACCCTGGGGCTTCCGACTGGGTGACCTCGGGGAAATCGACTGTCCAAATGCCTTTCGTTGTGACCCGTGGGAAACCCACGATGTCACACCTTTCCGAAACCTTTGGGTTACCCTCAAGTGACATCAGGGCTAGGTGGGGGGAACGTGAGGGCATCATTTTTCCGAGGCGCGTCCTTAATACATGCCACTCGATACGCGTACAGTAACTTATAAAACACCTGAAAAGTAATAATATGCTCTCATACATAAATTATATTGGTTAATCCCATTCGCGTTCTTCTCCAATGCTCATTCGCCAATAGCAAAACCGACAGAGTTTACAGGTTTACAGCCAACAAATATTGATAATACATACACTATTTTAGTCAACAGATTTACAGCATTTCAGTGTTCAATTTTCCTACCTGTTATTGATAATACATACACCTCAAATATTTCAGACTGGAACGAATGGTTCGTAACTCCGTAGAGGTGACACTCACCAATCTGAGTACACATAACCTGCACATTAAGGATGGAAACAGAAAGCAACAAGCAAA